CCCCAAAACCCCAAAACCCCAAAACCCCAAAACCCCAAAACCCCAAAACCCCTCAATTTTAGATAAAAATTGAATATAAATATGAATTATCTTCTTTCGTGAGACAGGTATACTCTCTACTTATTTATAGATGCCAAAATGACTTTGATGAAGAGGAACGCATCCCAATGATCCTCAGTGAGTGTGGACACACTTTCTGAGCAGTATGACTTAAAGAGATCCTTCATGAGGAAGAAGAGAAAATATGACCTGAGTGAACGTCTCCGTTTAGGGAAACAGATGAAGCTCAGTTTCGACAAAATATTAAAATTCTCAAGTTCATGCGGGAAAGAGGGGAGAAGGAATACGCGATGGATCAGATGGAGGATACCATTGAGTGTACTAAGCACTTACGAAAACCTATTGAATACTTCTGTAAAACTTGCTCTACTTCTGTTTGTGTGAAGTGCATCTATGATGATCATAATGGTCACCATTTGATGCCGATTGAAGAAATGAGTGCTTCATTGCTCCAAAATGTGAATGATCTTGAAAAGATGCTAAATAACACAAAATAGGTTAATTATCGAAAATGAAAATTTAATAGAGCAAGTCAAAGAAGAACTTTCCAGATTAATGGACCAACAAGTCAAGAATATCAATCAAGGGTTCAATGACTTGATCCGTAAGCTTGAAGAGAAGAAGCATGAAATTATCTTGGAGTTTGAGAAGAAATTTAAAAAGGAAGAACAGAAGTTTATTAGTAAGCAGAACCAGATCCGACAAGACACAGAGGAAATCGCATCTATTGAATTAATTCTTAAAGAGCTTAAGCAATTCACTGAGACGAATAATGATGCTCAAATTTTGCAGAAAATTCATGATGTGACAACCTTCTTGCACAAATCCTTTACTGATTTGGACATCATCACTAAGAAACAGATCTATCAAAAATCTGAAATCTTTATAGACCCAAATTTCAAACCTCTGTCTTTGAATGTAAAGAAAGCATTAGATATTGTTAAGAAATTTGAGATGGTTTTACCTTCGATCAACCAGAAAGTAAAGAATCAGGAAAGCGCAATGATCAATTCCATGAGCATGAATCCACTCTATGGGCGTCAATCAAGTAGAAGCCAGAATCCAGGAATGGAAGGACCAGATGATTCTATGAACCCTGCTGACCAGACTGAGCAAGTTGGAACATCCACTGGAAGAAATGTAAACATGATGCCGATGTCTATGAGCGGTCGGGGCTCCCAGGCTCCATCCTCAATGAGGCAACAACGACCTCCAATGGATTATAGTGGAGCTGAAGAAACAGTTCCTAGGCCTCAAGAAGCTGATGATAATGAGGAAAATAAGGAAGCAGGTGTCCTCACCTGCTTTGGAGATGCTAACGAAATTCTTCAATATACTCTGGGAAGGTTTACCTGGAGCAAGATGAAATATGAAAACAATGCAGCATATAGCGGGTCTTTGAAATATATTTCATGTTGTGCTGCTCCGGATGGAAGGATATATCTCATTGGTGGAGTTCTAATTTCAAATAACCACCCTTCAAGTACGTGATATGAAGTCAATGCAAGTCGAGTCCAGAAAAATGTTAAGAAGAGGAATATGCAGGTGAAGAGGTATGCACATTCTGCCATTTTTCTGAATGGTTATGCATATGCTATTGGAGGGTTCTCCCATCGAGATATTCCCAATGAAAGCCCAGTAACTTTAGCTTCTGCCGAGAGGTTCTCAATTCATGAAAATAAATGGTATTATGTTACATCAATGAATGAGGCAAGAGCATTTGCAGGCTCATGAAAAATTGATAACCAATATATTTACATGTTTGGAGGTCTTCATGACTACCAAGTGCTAAATAATATCGAAAAATATGATATTATCACTGATACATGGGTAAGTCTATACTACAAGCTCCCAATTCCACTTGCTAAGCTTGGAACATGAACTATCGACAAAGATACCATTCTCATTGCTGGAGGAATAACTGCTGATTTTGATACATCATCTGCTTGATACGCACTTAGCTTAAAGACCATCAAATGGAATATGAAGCAAAGTATGAAAACTCCCAAACTCTTGTCTCCAGGTCTCTTTCATTCTAACGGCTGGATTTATACAATTGGTGGTAATAAAAAAGGTAAATGTGAGAGATACAACATTGAAAGCAATTATTGGGAGCTCATCCCAAGTTACATTGAGATCAGTGACTACATTGACTTATTTAACTGGACAATGACTGTGACCTAAATGATTTTTAATAATTGTTTCAATAATTCCTCGAAAATTCGGGGTTTTGGGGTTTTGGGGTTTTGGGGTTTTGGGGTTTTGGGGTTTTGGGG